CAATTTAAAAAGAGGTCTTGGAAACAAACCCGAGTATTTCCTGGATAACAGCACAGAAATCGCAAATTAAATACTGTACAAGAAAACAAAGCATCGTTCTTTGTGTGGTTCGTTACCATCTTGTATGCTATCTTACTTGACATATCAATGATGAGTTGGAAAAAAACGTGTTTTCGGAGAAATATGTGCATAAAGCTAAGCCAAAATATTTTTTTTGAATATTACGAAATGCGTTTCTACCGGATTTGGAGGCAAATTATATCCCCAACTGATCTAAGTTAGACTTGGGGAGATTTCCCTTGAGAACTTCCCAAATTACTGCAGTACCGAGAATTGCCGAACAATGCAGGAGGAAAATGTCATTAATATATAGGTGGGCTGGCTTACAAAGAAAGGTTCATGAACTTATGGGTGTTTTCTTTGGAACGGGAATTAATTACTGTACATCCAAATCAGCTTACAACTTTTCCTTTCATCAATAGCATTTAGTCGGAAAATTGGGTCATTTCTTCAGTAAAGCTTCGAAATTGCTCAGTTTTTCGAGGGCAAACATTTATTTTCTTCTGATTTAATTTCCGCATTTTCTTTTGGCTACCTTCATCAGCAATCGAAACGAAGCGCACCAATTTTAATATAGGACAAGCTGGGGGTGCCCAGCCACACCTGGGCATCATGTTAAGAATTTTACCAAGGTTTTTAAAATGTCCCATATTTGGAGCAGTTATGCATCAATAAGAGTTGACAGGGCCATGTGATTACAGCTGGTGACATGTTAAATGTCCATCTGTAGGCATGTGGTATTTGTTGGTTCATGTCAAGTCCCCAACATGCTTCAAAAACAATAATTCACTGAAAAAATAATTGAAAAAATGTGGTATTTCACTGTACTATACCTTGGGTCCCTAATGTTATCCAGTATTTCACCACACTGTACAATCAAAGTACCCATAAAATCTCACACTATTTCTCCATTCCTGGTTATGGCCTGGACATTGCGTAGTATTTCTTGTCAGATGCTAGGACACAAACATTGTAAAGTATTTCACTGAATGACTTTGGGCCCATAATTTCCCATAGTATTTCACTGCTGTGCAACATTAGGGCCCTACCTTTGCACACTATTTCACTGTGTTACATTTGGGGCCAAACATTTCAGTGTAAGTCACTGCACAGGATTAGGGCCCATATTGTCCCACAGTATTTCACTATATGAGATTAGGGCCCCAATACAGCATACCTTATCCTACACAGAAACTACAGAAAATACTGTGCATGACTGAAATTTAATTTTTGAATGAAAATTGCTATATGCAAACATTTTACATAATTCCTTGGTTAAATTTTTGCCCCTTTTGTATTTTCACTCTCAGCCCATCCTAATTTTTTGGGTTTGAAAAATGTTAAATTTTCTTTTGGTGATGAATGCCCACCATCATCAAAATTTTAATATTTTTTAATAATACTCTATAATATGAAAATTATGCTTTTGTATGTTTCAGCACAACTATGTCAATTTTCAAGATTTGAAAAGGCACTGAGTTCACAAATGTTTGGTTTAATGCATCAGATCATATATAATGAAGTTTAAGCTTGAAAAATGTGTTGGGGGCTTTTCAGGAGTCTATCATTTTCCAATTCAGGTATTTGTACTTTATTTAATACTTGCTCAATTTATGAAATTTTAATATGCATCAGATCATATATAATGAAGTTTAAGCTTGAAAAATGTGTTAGGGGTTTTTCAGGAGTCTATCATTTTCCAATTCAGGTATTTGTACTTTATTTAATACTTGCTCAATTTATGAAATTTTAATTATCGGTGTATGCATGTATGTTTTACAAATTTACATATTTTTTAAAATTGAAATAGGTCAAGAATTTCAATTATTCATGTTGAAAAAAATTCAATTATTTTTTCAAGATTTTTTTACAAAATTATAAAAACATTTTGAGTTATTTCTCATATCTCTGTCAATTTTGAGTTTTTTAATTATTTAAAGAAAGGAAATGTTGTAAAATAAATTGTGCTTCCTACGATCAAAACAATTGCAATTTTCTAAAGAAGTCAAATTTTTCAAAATTTTTAAATTTGGCAAAAGGGGAAATGGAATTTTCAAAACATTTTGCATTTTTCAGTTTAGCTCTGGAAAATTTTCAAAATGCTTTAAATTCTAACATTTTGCAGGAATATGTGCATAGGAATGTTTTACAAATTCTGAAATTTTTTTAATGATGGAAATTGTTACATTTAAAATTAAGAAAGTAGAATTAGTTTTTGCAATTTTTGTATGGTTTTGAAAAATGTTTTTGTGTTTTGTATTGTAATTCAGTCAATATTATTCTTTTTTCCAAATTTAAAAATGCATAATAAAGAAAACATCATGGTGCTTTTTATAAAGTTTTCAAAAGTATTTTTGGTTGAAAATTGAATTTGTTTCAAATTTTTAAAGTTGAAAAAACAGGGAACGAAATTTTCAAAAAATGCTGTGTTTTTCAGTTTAGCTCATTTTATTTCTTTCAATATTGTTTCAATCTCAAAGATTTTGCAGGAATATTTGCGCAAGGATGCTTTAGGATCTTAGATATTTTATTTTTGTTTAATGATGAAAAATATGACAGTTGAAATTTGAAAACTAAAATACTTTTTTTTGCGATTTTCGTACAATTTTGAAAAATTGTTTTATGTTTTTCATCATAATTCAGTCAGTTTTCAACCTTTTTCCAAATTTAAAAAATCTAAATGTGGAAAAGACCATGGTGCTTTATATACAGTTTTCAAAAGTACTTTTGATCAAGAATTTGATTTTTGCCGATTTGTCAAAGTTGGCAAGACAGGAAACAAAATTTTCCAAAAATTATGCGTTTTTCAGTTTAGCTCATTGTAATTTTCACAATATTCTTTTAATTTCAAAGATTTTGCAGGGATATCTGCGCAAGGATGTCTTAATAATTTAGGTATTTTTCTTTTGGTTTTATGAATGAAAATATGACAGTTAAAATTTGAAAAGAAAAATGATTTTTTTGCAATTTTCGCACGTTTTAGAAAAATCTTTTTGCGTTTTTCATTGTAAATCAGTCAATTTGCAACCTTTTTCCAAATTTAAAAAAAAGAAATGTGGCCAACATCATGGCGCTTTCTACAAAGTTTTCAAAAATGGTTTTGGTTGAAAATTCGATTTTATACAAATTTCTAAACTCACAAAAACGGGAAACGGGAATTCCCTGCAGGAGCCTCTGCTTCCCCTCATTGGGAGGGAGTTTGAAAGGGGTCCTACAGGAAAAGTAAGAGAGTTGCGCTCCCACACACGGCGGTTCGCAAGTAACTTTATTAGGTAAGATTCAGAAGAAAAAAATCCAAGATCTGGTCTTTTTCCAAGCGTCACAAGGTTTAGTCTTCAGACAAGCCTGTGTCCAACATAATGTTTTGAGACCCTGCAGAAGATTGCAATATAGGTCATTACTCTGAAGTCAGAAATTGACGGAAAATGAAACTCTTGATGCCCCGAGCGATGGGTGATTACTTAATAATCATTCATAGGAGAAAAACCCGAGGAGAGATAGCATAGGCCGGTTGAAGATGATGACATTATTTTCCAGACATTAGATCATTTGCATTGCTTGAATAACGCACGGATCAAGTATCGAAAAAAGAAAAAAAATATATAATATCCCCGGAGATCGGATACCCTCAGCGGTCGAAAATCGAATCAGTTCTGTAAAGAGTACATACGTACGTCTGTATGGAGACGAGACCTGCAATGGCATGCGATCTTCTTCAAGGTCTTATTGAGACACAATGTCTGAAAGAATCATGCGATGATCGGAGAAGGTTTGGGAAGCTTTTTTTTTTAATATTCTTTCGAGACTTTCATGGATACGGATGATGCCTGATTGTTTTTCTCCTCGCGTCGTCTATGTCTATGATGTCAAAATTGATCGGCGGAAGAATTAAGATATCTAAGTGAAGCGAGGATGCGGAAAATCCTCTCAAACTTTCTGATAAAATAAAATGCCCCTTTTCATACCTGAATATCTCACGGAATGAGAATACAAGATATAGTCACACTAATGACTTCCTGCAGATCACATCCATATTCCTCCTTCTCCGGGTCGAGAGTTCCAATGCAACACTTATTCTCGCCATTAATCCTGAAGATGAACCCATAAGTATGTAACTAGCTAAATACATCAATTTTGAATACCGTATCATGACATTCTCTTGCATTGTTTCAACGCGGGAAAGAATAAATGATTAGCATCATACTCGTATAAGCCGTATGCAAATTTTTACTCAACGACACCAGGATTGGAGAAGGAGTTCATGAGAAAAAACTCGTATGATGAAACCAACATAATATTAACAGTGTAATACAGGTGATCATTTTGAAGCATCGGAAGCATAATTTCGATCCGCAACCTAAATCTAAAAAGCTGAACGAGGCCATATTAGATTTCTGAATTTATCTGAAACAAGAGAAACATTTCTTTCCTGGGGAGAGAATACAACCCCGCATTCACAACTCACTTCTTGAGCATGAAACCTCAAGTTTATTCCCGTAAAATCAACAGATTGATATGAGAAACAAATTACAGGCACAGACCCAGTTTTTTCCAGAAAATAAATACTGAAGCAACTAGAATATATTATATATCACCCCCTACCCTACCCCACCCCAACCACAAATATTTGAACAAATCATCACGCTTTTGCTCGAAACTTGAACATCATGTTCGTCATGGCAATGGATAACCTGAGATACAATACAGCACTCAAATTTCTGGCCGTATTCATCACCGTCGACTCACTTCCTCTGCGTGCAACACCTTCGACCACTGCAAGAGACTTTTCTTCCACACATAAGAACCGCAGACGGTAAAGAAAAACCTTTGTATCTGGTGTGGAAAATATCCCGTCGTCTCGCTGGCATACGGAATCGTTGCGACGGCACTTCTCGCGAACGTCTTCGCGTCAGGAAAAAATATGCCGAACTTTTGCATGAAATTGGAGATTCCCGAAGTCATGGGAGTATTCAGATAAAAGGGATTTAGCGCTTGAACTGTCACGTGGGACTCTAGGCACTCTTCAGTCAGCGCCTGAGTGAAGGAATCGACGAATGTTTTTGTGGCAGAATACAATGCAAGCATGGGCGAGGGATATGATCCCGCGCAAGAACCCACATTCACGATTGCACCTCGACGTCTCTTCTTCATGCCCGGGAGAATCAAGTGTGTCAAGGCTACGACCGTGTCGATGTTCACTCGAAGAATGTTCGAGACGTGCTGGAAATCCAAAGTTTCGAAGAATGTGTACCTGGAGGAAAAAGTAGAGAAAAAAAACCTTTTCCATCTCACCGGCAGTCAGAAAATTACACAAAAACTTTCAGTTTTGATGAGCCGTGCCTGAAGTTCAAGTCGGTGGGAGACAGCGAAGAGAATCGAATCCAAAACTTTTTCTTGATGAAAAAAAAAAAACGTGGAATTCAATGTGAAAATACATGTGGTTGAAGACTTGAGCACGAATCAATACTTAATCTCAAAAGATCTGGGAGTAACACACAAGTACGCATTTCGGATTTCTTGGTTCCACATGTGGCCACAAAAAAGAAAGAACCATTGACTATCTACCACTTTCTTATATTTCACAAATATAAGGGTTAGCAACTCAAATAAATTAACTTCGATTGAGAATTTCTGAATTTAAAGTTGGCAGTAAGCAACAAATAATTTTAATCAGCGAATTTTAATTCAAGTATTTTTTCCCTCACAATCATCAAAATTCCATTAGTGGATTCATCTTGAATTTTTGCAAAACTGAAAAAGCTTTGCTGAAAAAGGAACATTAATTGTTACCAGAAAATGCGGAAGGTTGACACAATTGAGCATCATGGATTTTCGTGACAAGTTCTCGAAGACATCTGGGAGATTTGTGGTTCTTCCATTTTTGCTTGAAGGCTGGTACTGAAATACTGTATTTTGTCAGGTCATTGACGAATAATTTTCTTTCACTTTTGAATTGTTTTACGTTCAATCATCCATGATGTACAATTATTCGCACAAAGGAATCCGATTACAATCCGGGGCATAAAATTTAAAATTATGGTCCTGAAGCACACTAAACGTCCAAAAGAAATAGTGTACACAGTAAAAAAATGAGAGTCGATCAGAAAAATAAACTGTAATGCATCTGAAACGATGCAACAACATTCTCATAGTACATGTTTTCAAATTGAAAAGGCACAACATATTCTAGCAATGAAAACTTGACACAAATTTATCAATTCGAACAAAAAATTGCGACTTACTCATGCAATAGGCCCACGTTATTTATCAGAAGGCCGATATCGTCGAACTTGGCAAGTTCGTTTTCGAGGCGGGGAAGAATGCTCTGAATTTTGGTGAAATCAGCGACTATACATTCCACAGTGGTTCCAGTTTCACGCACTAGTTCAGCGGCAACGTCCTTCAATTTCAGCTCATTCCTGGACATGAGCACAATCTTGAGGCCACGCTTCGCCAATTCTTTCGCGTACTCTTTCCCTAAACCATCAGTTGCCCCCGTAATAACAGCCCATTCTCCATACCTCTTCACGAAATTAGGCTACAAATAATAACGAACATGAAATTCATCAGTGCAAATTGCAGGGACGGAGAAAAAAAGACGAATATCTCACCTTGCCAAAACGCGCCCAAACGAAAGTCCTAAAAGCAAAAAAGGTTTGCAGAAAGCACCATATACCTACCGCGATTAAAGCAAGTACCCCAACTGTTATCACCAGCAACATGCTCGATAACTGAAATCCGATCACAGAATAATGCGTATTTCAAAAATCTAAAAAGGAATACAGTAAATAAACACTCGCAATGAAAAAATAAACGGATTGCCAATTCAAATTGTCATTCCGTTTTGCAAAATTTACAAGAAAGTAAGCTTTTAGAAATTAAAACACGCCGTTGTAGCACCATTTCATTCATCAGGAAAATTTCGAATCCGATCGCAGAACAGTTAAGCGAAATCCGATGCGTTACACACGCATTGAACAAACGATACTACGAAATAACAAGAAAGTTGAAAATCAAACCAAAACGAAATGTGGACGGATTGATCTTAGCGCAATGAATTCAGCAAACGCGTTAAATTTCAGCTGAGATAGAGATTCACACAGGAGATTTTGTCTTCCTTTCTTGGCGACGAGCGCAATTTAAAATACCATTCACTTTGGCACTTTCGTTAAGCAAACGTTGCATACAATCATGCGTCAAACCTCAAAAGCAACGACGCTACTGCGCAACTAAAATATTCCATACAATTTTCATAAACCTCTTCAAAAACAAAACTTGGCAAATAGAAGAATTACACTCTCGAATTTGTCCAAAACGCGCAAAGGCTTCCCACGAGTCGCACAGTACCCTGTACACAACTGCTTCACAATTCCGAAGAAGCAAATTCCAAGGTATCATGGATCTGAATGATACCCGATTGATTTTCTCCTCCTGTCGTTTATGGCATTAAAATTGTTTGGGAAAAGAATCAAAATATTCCAGCGAGGCAAGAATGCGAAACATCCTCCCAAACGTTCTCATGAAGAAAATGCTGTTTTCTATTCTGAATATTGAATGGAATGACAATGATCGATAACGTCAGACTAATTATATAAATCTCATCCATACTTCTCCTTCTCTAGGTCATGAGTTCAACTGCAGCACTTCTCACCACTTATCTAGAAGATGACCCAATAAATGCGTGTAACTGACTACATAAGGTGCAGCAATTTGAGGAGTATAATGAAATTTTTTTAAACATTGTTTCAATTTCTGGAAGTGGAAGAACGGAATACCTCCATATAAGCCGCATGCAATGATGGGGAATACAATAGTGATTAACATGATAAAAGAAGATGAGAGCATTTCAATGATCGATGTGAAAACATTTTAGAGCAAAGTTTCTTCCCCGCGAGAAGCCATGAGAAATGGAAAAGGCGCACAGGAGGAAAAACTGAAATTATGGAACCAACATACCATGAACAGCGTACTACGTTATTATTTTGAAGCACTGTAAGCATCAATTCGATCCTCAACCAAAGTTAAAAAGCTAAACGATCTGGCCATATTAGATTTTTGAATTTCTCTGAAAAAAGATACAGTATACCTCACTTCCTTCTGGGGCGAGAATACAGCACAGTCAGCACTGTATTCACAATCCACTTCTTGAGCATTAAACCTCAACAAGTTTATTCACCAGAAATCAACAGATAGACTTTGGAAACGAATTCCAGCCGCAGACCTACTTTTTTTTAGAAAAAAATACTGGAAGAACTAGAATATATTATCCCCCACCAGAAATATTTGAAGAAATACCGTGATCACTTTTTAATCAAATTTTGAGAATAATGTTCGTCATGGCGATGGATAACCTGAAATCAGTACTGTACAGCACATCCATGAAGGGCAGTTCTGGCCGTATTCATAACCGTCGACTTCCTCACTTCCTCTGCGTGCAAAACCTTCGACCACTGCAAGAGACTTTTATTCCACACATAAGAACCGAAAACGGTAAAGAAAAACCTCTGTATCTGGTGGGGAAAATATCCCGTCGTCTCGCTGGCATACGGAATCGTTGCGACGGCACTTCTCGCGAACGTCTTCGCATCAGGAAAAAATATGCCGAACTTTTGCATGAAATTGGATATTTCCGAAGTCATCGGAGTATTCAGATAAAAGGGATTTAGCGCTTGAACTGTTACGTGGGACTCTATGCACTCTTCAGTCAGCGCCTGAGCGAACGAATCGACGAATGTTTTTGTGGCAGAATACAATGCAAGCGTGGGCGAGGGATATGATCCCGCACAAGAACCCACGTTCACGATTGCACCTCGACGTCTCTTCTTCATGCCCGGGAGAATCAAGTGTGTTAAGGCTACGACCGTGTCGATGTTCACTCGAAGAATGTTCGAGACGTGCTGGACATCCATTGTTTCGAAACATAGACACCTAGAGAAAAAGTATTGTACTGTATACTGTATTGTACATAAGGAACCACTGCTCTACGTTAGCCACATTCAGAAAATTATGTGAAGTATAGACTTTATCTTTCATGAGTTTTTCTTAGCCGTGCCTAGAGTGAAAGTCTATTGAAAGGAACGAAGATTATTATTTTGATTTCAATACAAAATGGTTTTCTTGATAAAAAAAAAACTCAGATTTAATGGAAAAATTCATGTCATTAGAGAAAAAAAACCTGGAAGTGTAAAAACAAAGTAATACTTCGTTACTAATGTTACTCAAGTACAGTACATACTCTCAAGAGATCTGGGATGAGAAGCACAGAAATACGCATCTCTCTTTTTTTTTTTTCAATCCAATGTTCCAGAGTAAATGTGTAGCAAAAATTCATTTTTTTAAACCACTGCATGCACCCTTCAATACGGTATACCCAATACTTTCTTCCGCTTCACAAATTGACAAAATGCAGTACAATTTTAATCAAATGAGCCTCGATTGAGAGATTCTGAATTAAGAGTCGACTGTAGGAAACTTCTTCGGTTGCTGAAAAATGAAAAACTTCTCCTGATATTAGGAGATGCGGGAGGTTGACACAATTAACGTGACAAGTTCACAAAGACATCACAGATTTATGGTGCGTCGGGATTTTTTAAAATCCTGCTACGGTAATATTTTGTCCGGTCATTGATAAATTATCATTTTTTCGTCATTGAATTGTTTTACGCACGAACACATGATTATTCGCACGGAGAAATCCGGTTATTATGCAGAGAAAAAATTGACGCCTTTAACAACTTAAAGCGTACTGAAGGTCCGGAAGAAACGCAGTACACTGTACAAAAGAAAAGGCGACAGACAATGAAATTTAATGCATCCAAACCCGATTCTTTAAACTTCTCACAGTACACCTGTTCGTGTATTAAAACTAGATAAGCAGAGAAAAGGCACAACAGATTCTAGAAATAAAAAACTTGAAACAACTTTCTTAATTGAAAAAAAATTGCAACTTACTTATGCGTTAGGCCCACGTTATTTATCAGAAGGCCGATATCATCGAACTTGGCGAGTTCGTTTTGGAGGCGGGGAAGAATGGTCTGAATTTCGGTGAAATCAGCGACTACACATTCCACAGTGGTGCCGGTCTCATGCACAAGTTCAGCGGCAACGTCCTTCAATTTCAGCTCATTCCTGGACATGAGCACAATCTTGAGGCCACGCTTCGCCAATTCTTTCGCGTACTCTTTCCCTAAACCATCAGTTGCCCCCGTAATAACAGCCCATTCTCCATATATCTTTGCAAAATTTGGCTAGAAATAATCACGAACATGGATTTCATTAGTCAAATTGCAAGGACGCATTAAAAAAAAGTGCATGTGTACCTCACCTGAACAAAACGCGCCCAAACGAAAGTCCTGAATGCGAGAACGGTTTGGACAAAGCACCATATACCTACCGCGATCAAAGCAAGCACCCCAACGGTCATCAGCAGCAACATGCTCGATCACTGAAATCCGATCACAGAATAACTTGTATATAAAAAATATAAAAAGGAATACAGCGAATAATAAACACTCGCAATGAGAAAAAAAAAACGAGTACCTACTCAAATCGTCCTCCCGTTTTTCAAAATGTACAACAGCACATTAATTTTTCAGAAAATAAAAACCTATGTTTTAGCACCAATTCATTCATCAGAAGAAGTACGAACTCAATCGCGATACAGCGAAATCCGAAGCATTACACACGCATTGAACAAACGATACTACGAAATAACAAGAAAGTTGAAAATCAAACCAAAACGAAATGTGGACGGATTGATCTTAGCGCAATGAATTCAGCAAACGCGTTAAATTTCAGCTGAGATTCACACAGGAGATTTTGTCTTCCTTTCTTGGCGACGAGCGCAATTTAAAATACCATTCACTTTGGCACTTTCGTTAAGCAAACGTTGCATACAATCATGCGTCAAACCTCAAAAGCAACGACACTACTGCGCAACTAAAATATTCCATACAATTTTCATAAACCTCTTCAAAAACAAAATTTGGCGAATAGAATTACACGCTCGGACTTGTCCGAAACACGGCAAGGCTTCCCACGAGTCGCCCAGCACCCAGCTCACAACTGCTTCACAATTCCAAAGAAGCAAATCCGGGCCATCATCGACTGTCATCTGCATATCTTGCACCAACAAATGAACCAATTCTTGGCCACAGAAAATTCGTCACAACCCGGTTAATTCCTAGACAATATCGCAAAAAGGCGTGGCCATAGTATCCAGTCGAATCCGTAGCGAATGGTATCATAGCCACTGCGCTTTTCACAAATGTTTCCGGACGCGGGCATGTTAGTTCACAATAACCCTTCAACATCCGCGGAAATCTCTCCGTAAATTGGGTATCAACGAAACAGGGGTGAATGGCTTGCACTCGGATACCGTGAGGTTTGCATTCATGCGCCAAGGCTTTCGAAAAATGAGATACGAATGCTTTCGTCGCGGCATACAAAGAGAAGTTCGGACACGGAAGGTACGACAGGGTTGATGACAAATTGACGAGTGCTCCCCGTCGACGCTCTACCATCCCCGGGAGTACCAACCGCGTCATGTCGATGCATGCGTGTGTGTTAACTTCTAGCAAGCTGTGCACAGTCTCGTCCGGTATGCTGAGAAAACTTCTAGAAAATAGGCAAAGGACAAAATATCGAAGAGGCGAACATCAGTAGGAGTAAAAACATATTAGAAAGTGAATGGTTCTCTAGGTAGTCGACCAACAAAAAATGATAACACTTAAAGAATTAAGGACACATGATGATAACAGTGTCGGGAAAGGGAGAAAAGTCATTGCATCTTCCCATCAACAAGTGTTTGCCGGTAGGAAAATGAAGAAACATTTTTCCAGAGTTGAACAATAAAATTCACGGGTGAATCACAATTAAATAGACGAGCAAGATGGAAATACAGTAACTTTTTCTTAGTGAGCCTTAATTTTTCTTCTCATTTCTCATTGAAACACGACCGCAATCGCTGTACTGATGCCACGAATTTCCTTCTCATCTTCCAAGGACAACCCGAAGGCCCACGAAAGGCGAAAATGTTTCTCATTAATTCACACGCTCCAATAAGTTGTGGTTGTCCGGATGAGGCTAGAAATTTTATTTTTATTTTTTTCATTGTCCCACCTTCCTTTGACAGGTATATTTGTACATGTTCCTACACTCCCTCGAGATAAAATATCTGTATTGACATTTTCATGGATCCAACAAAGCATGGATCGAAAAGTATAACAGTAGAAGAACAAAAATATTGCCGATTTCGATGGATACAAAAAGTTGAAAAAAATGAAACTTACCCTGAGTCGAGAATTCCCACGTTGTTTACCAAAATTCCCACGTCCAACTTTTCAATCGCTGCACGTATGTAAGGCATGAATTCATCGACCCTCCTAAAGTCAGCCACAACGTACATTACCTCAACTTCTGCTTTTTCTGCTATTTCAGCAGCGACTTTCTGCAATTTCTCAAGCGTTCGGGAAATCAAAACAATGTTCATTCCACGCCTAGCGAGCTCTTCAGCATAACAGCGTCCAATACCATCAGTTGCTCCTGTCACCACAGCCCATCGCCCAAATTTTCTCACATATTCAATCTGGAACGGAAAATTAAATCAAGAAGAGGGAAACCAACGAACAGAAACCAAACTCACCCGGACTAGTCGAGCCCAAACGTGATTCCGGAGCCCAACATACAGATCAAAAATAAAGCGTATGAATTTTGCGGCAATAAAATAAATCCCAGCTCCGATCAGTAAAAAATACGAAAACCCGCCTTTCGGCAGTTCTTCTAAATCCACCATTTTTCCTTTCGATAGATGAATATAGCCATAAAAAATCGACAAAATGGTTTGAAAGATAAATGGATTTGACTACCTCCACAACATGTTCCAGGACAAAATCAACGGACACGAATTTCATTGTTGAACAAAGTTGAATTTCTGAATCGTAGTTTCCCACCCTGACCTGCAAAATTCCAAGATACAATCGGACCGATAGAACCCCAGCCTCTGTTACAGAAACAAGAATTCCAAGAAGGAATACTCGAGGATGATTTGTACATTCAAAAAAAAAGCACCATTCGATCCTGGCCAAGTTTCAAATGAAAAATGACTTTATCGCTGCTTAATCGTGCTTGCGAGCCTTCTTGACGCCCATGCCCGTGTGGTAAAGGCCTCGCTGCCAAAGGAATTCCCCGGGAATCAGACTAGACTGCAACGCATGAGCCCAATACCCATGAGTATGGGTCGCGTACGGAATCGTCGCAACGGCACTCTTCGCGAACTGCTCTGGATTGGGCCAAAAAACGTTGAACGCCGAATAATCGGAATCCGAGAAAATCAAAGTCATGTTCGTTCGCACAGCGTTTGGCGTAACGCACTGCACAGTGATGCCATGAAATTTACATTCGTAAGCGAGACCGCGAGAGAAGAAACTGTCAAAAACTTTGGTTGCGGCGTACAAATTGAACATCGGTGTCGGATAAAAGCTTATACCGGAGGAAATGTTCACGATTGCTCCGCTTCTGCGAGCCTTCATAGCTGGCAGCACCAAATGAGTCATTTCCACCGCTGCGTTGTTGTTCACCTCCAGCATCCCTCTGTATTCTTGTTCAGTCATCTCATCGAATTCCCTGCGAACACAATAGTGAAACTTATTCAAAGGGCAAGTAACAGTTCACAAAGCAAAACGATAGAAACGCAGACATCGACCGTTGTTACCCGTCATCGTAAGTTGCTTTTGAATTTCGTTCCGACTAGGGGACAAAATGGAATTTCACGCAAGAATGTGATCAGACGAAATTCATTCAAGTGAAGAACATTCACTTTTGAAATTAATGTTCAACGGAACGTCGAAGACAAAAAAAAAGAAAGAAAAAAAAAAGCAAGAAAAGCATCGAAGTCATAAAACGTGCGAAAATGCAGCCTTTTAGAATCATCCCACGAATTTCGTCCTAAATGTTCCCTAAATCGAGTAACTCTCTTTGAAAATTTCGTCCAGCACGAAATTACTGATATGCGCGGTGACCGAAGCAAAGTTTCACCAGAAAGCAGAAGTGGAAAATCATGCAGCATCATCAGGTTCATTCGATAACTCTGTAAAACTGTACTTGAGGACCATACGACACTTACCTCGTTTTTTTTTCTGATGTAACTTGTCAGTGAGCAGAATGGTTTTAAAATTGTACGATGAGGCGAAAATGTTTGGGCCCCTTCAAGCAGTGGCCGCATCAGCAACAAATTTTCGTCAAAACTCCATGAAAATCATGTTACGAAAGGCTTGACCCTCACTCTCATCAACTGTTATTACGCATTTCAAGAATGTTCAGTTGACAACTAATTGTAGAATTTTATTCGATAAGCAAAACATACTTTGGAAAAGTGTGAAACTCACGAAAGTTTACGAAAAAGATCAACTATGAAGAGTCAAAATTCAATTAAAAAAAAGGTTCACCCGATGAAAAGCACACCGACGTTGTTCACCAGGATTCCAATTTCCAAGTCCTGGATCGCCTGTTTTATTGAAGCGTAGATTGAAGCACCTTTTGAGAAATCTGCAACGACGTACGATATTTCGGACCCAGTTCTCAGTTTTATTTCATCCGCTACACGCTTCAATTTTTCCTCATTACGTGCGATCAACATGACTTTCATTCCACGTCGAGCTAATTCATACGCGTAACCTTTTCCGATTCCGTCCGTAGCACCGGTTACGACGGCCCACGCACCGTATTTCTTCACTAAATCGAGCTGTGAAGAATTTTCCATTAAAACTTTTAGGACTTCCCAACATCGGAGATTTGCGAACTCACTGGATAGATTCGGGCCCAAACGAAGTTCCGAAACGCAACGTACAAGTTGTAACCCAGCTTGATGACTTTTTTGCTGGCGTAGTAAATACCAAGAACAGTGATGACATTTTGCACTGTCTCCGCTTCTTGCAATAAATACGGTCGCAAGAGGCTCACCGCATCAGGACCAATCGCCATCTCAAAGCACAAACCCTGAAGACGGAACTGATCGAACGGCTTTGTACAACATGCAACGATTTTGAGGAATGAATCGAAGATTTGACGTACAATAGACTATAACAAGATGTATTATTCCATATCATACTATTATTAGCTCTTCAGGCCGGTGGACAAGCATTACAAAACCGTCCGTCGGCATTTTCAATTGAAGGAGAGACGAATTGGCAGCCGCTAAAATCCGCTGTCGCAATTTCCAGTAATTCAACCTCGTCGAACATTGCGCGAACTTTTTTTCTAGGACACTCAACCTCAAAAAACCGAGGGGACGGACCGACAAGGACCAACTGGCCCATTTCTTATCGTGGAAAAAAAATTCATCAGCCAATAATATACCTACAGCCGGTCATGAAACCCAGGAACCCTGCGTTTCTTCAACAGCCTCTTGCTCCATTTACACAAACAAATAACAAAAAAGAGTTGAAAGGTCCAACAAAACGCAGAGAATTTCAAAAAATGTAAGAGCCTCGCAACAATCACAAGACAGCCTATCACGCCGTCGCAAAAGACACGTTCAATCTTCTTTCCATTCGAAGCATTGCAGGCAAAAAATGTTCTGGATAACATCTTGGCCACTCATTCAACTGAGACCGAATGAGACTTGGAATTCGAATTACATCAAGCAATCAAATTTCCTCCCCTTTTTCACCAGATACGAAATTGACCGCATAAAATCAAAACATGCAGAATTACCCGTGCTACCCCAAAACACGATTGGCAAATTTATTCGCCTAAATGACCAGCGCTTCCTTATTTTAAATGAAAAGGAAGAATAAAAAATTATAATTTTGATGTGGTTCGAAGGTTTTACGAAGCACAAATTTTCAAGACTCACATTGCAGATTGGCGTGAACGTAGCAAGCGACTTGTAGATAAGTTCGATACAGAGAATATTCCTGCTGAAAATGATAGAATTCATAGAAAGGTGACTTTCCAAGACTAGAAGGATTTCCAAGTATGAACGGCGAATACTTGAATTCGTTTCTGATAAAAGAGGAACAACTTTTAAATTGGCTGGATCGTATTATTGGGGAAACACGGAAATTCATCATATTTCAAGAAAGAATTCAACTCATAGCAAGGCTATATCAGGCGTCATTGTCCTCAAACAACAAAAAGACGATCGAAGGGGCCAGATCATGCGTTGAAGACGAAACCTTTGAGGAAAAAACGGAGAAGTGTCCTGGTTCGGGCTTCAAACCAAAATTGCACAATACTGAACTCCCACCAATACCAAACACTCCTTTCCTTTCCAACAAGCAGAACGATTTCACAGCGAGAACATCGGAAGGTGAAAGACGAGACTTCCAGAACCATGCATCTGCACATTCCAAATACACACTTCAATCGCCGGGAAGAAATCATTTTCCGTCTTTCAACTCGTTCTTGATTCCGTCCACACGCAACCAACGTTGTAAGAGATGACCAAGCTTCTTCCATCCCCACTGGTTTACAATGGTAACCACCCAGTATTGAAACCCGTGCGACCAATAGCCGGAAGTGCGTCCGGCGTACGGTAAAGTGGCGATCGCGCTTCTTGCAAAGGCTTTCGCATCAGGGGTCAGTTGTCCAATGCTGTTCAGCGTCGATGAAAATCGTGTCATGTTCGTTCGGATGTAAAATGGCACCAAAGTCTGAACATCGATTCCATACGGAGCGTATTCCTCGTGAAGTGCCTATGAAAAAAGGACATCACTTACTGTATTTTATAACTCATCCATGAAAAAATGCTTCAACATATATAATATTGCACAAATGTTAAGCCAACTCATTGAAACCCGTGCTCATATTCTTGCATTGCATAATTTACAGTACTGTACTTGAAAATTATATTGTATAGTCAAACATCTCTAGGTTAATCCCTAGAAACATCAATAAGTCAAACCTCTCTAATTCTAGTTGAATTTCAAGGGGCCAGCAAAGAAATTCGACTTCGGGCGGTTCGAGTAAGGGAAACAAGCATTTTTGTTGCGGAAAAACTTAAAAGAAGGGCAGGAAATAGTAAATGGGGATAATCTAGGCCTTAACTTTCTTTTTACACGAGTTTACAGCATTCTGAACTTTCGAGGCAAGAGTTCATTCGCTCCATTAGTCTTGCACTTTCTTTCAGGACACATCAAGATACTTGTTTCATTGCTCTTCTCTCACACATTGGAATAAAATAATAAGTTCTCAGAACATTTGACTTCCGGAGGTTTTAGAGGAAAAGACGTCAGGTTAGGGACGTTTTTAATGCATTCTTTCATAGGAATCCGGACTGGGACTTGATATGACTTATTGAGGTTCAATGGTACTCAACACCTCCGCAAGTCGAATTTTGTTGTTGGTTCCTTGAAATTCGACTTGAGGTTTCAACTCGAGGAGGTTTTGAGTAGGGGGAAACAAGCATTTTTGCTATGGGAAATATAGGATTGCAGGAAATTGTAAATGGTGATATTCTGGACCTTCAATTGTTTTTTGAATGAGTTAATAGGATGTTGATCTTCGAGTTAGGGGTTCATCTGCCCAACTTATCTTTCACTTCCTTTCAAAACAAATGGTCACTTTTGTACTGCTTTTCTCCTTCTTGTGTCAAGATAATAATAGCCTTGGGAAATTCGAGTTACGGAGCTTTGAGAGGAAACGCCTTAGAGTTCGGGAGACTTTTAATGCATTGTTTCTATAGGGGAATTCAGACGGGGACTTGAAAAAATTCGACTTCGGGAGGTTCACGAGGATTTGGAACGTCATGAAGGAAGATAAGAGGACTGGACGAATAAGGAAAAGAGATAACTAGAATGAAAGTGTATCCGCAAAAAATAAGGGGAGCATAGTGCTCTTTTCAGAAGTTGTTGGACGGAAATGATATGCTTCACTTCGCAAGGTACACACGATGCGAAGAAAGATTAGCTCTTTCCGAAAAAAGATTACGTTTTCTCTGACCACAAATGGGGATATCGCGGTACGTAAAAGTGCAGAACTCAATTTCACCTGAGACAAATAATCCACGTAAGCCTTAGAGGCAGAATAAACAGCCATTAGCGCCAGAGGACCGATTGCCGAGGCTGACGATAAATTGATGATGGCTCCACGACGCCGCGCCGCCATTTCGGGCAATAACATATGCGACATCATTGTAGCAGCGGTCATGTTCACATTGATGAACTGCATCAAGACTTCCGCCGGGACTTCCGTGAAGTACTTTGGGTAACTGTTCATAAAACCAACGTTGTTCACGAGGACACCGACCTCACGATTCCCGATTTCCGCTCGAATCCTGAGAAAACATTCAGAATCGTCAATGTCGTCAGATTTATATCACCCTAAAGAACGACTTTAAAATTCTAATCCAGGGCAAAATGATAAAAACATGATCAAAACTAGACAAAGAAGGGTAACGCCGTTAAAATCAACTGCCCGTAGAAGGAACAACAAAAAAGCTTACACACCTCAGAAGTACTGAGGAGTACTGATGCTAACAAGTAGCGGTATGCTTGGAACTTGAGGAATTCGTCATCAACAATGAAACAATAAAAAGATCCGATCTTCACGGAGGAAGTTCGGTACTTCTACACACTAACCATCAATTATCCACTTCGGCGCATCGCATGAAATCCTCGAAGCCTATTCCCAAAAAATCTAAAATATCCAGCTCGAAATGAGTCGAAAAATGCCTTTAAAAGCATGTAGGATAAGTTAACCCTTCACATCCTTCCACATGATCGACTTCAAGAGGAAAAAACTGAATTTTAAAGCGAAAAAGATCCGAAAAAATTTATTTCAAACGCTGCCATACCTGATATCCGCATTCATTTGAAACATACGACTATTTTCGTTTTTGAAAAATTGGCTCAAAATATCAGAATTCGCCTCACATATAAAATCTGATATTAACTTGAATAAGTTCTTAATACCAAATTTTTTTTTCAGCAACAAAGCGCTGGAGTCCAGATTCGGTCACCAGATAAAGTTGGTCGGAATGAGTACAATAAACAAACGCCAGCTCATCCTGATGAAACTGATCGCAATCGAAGGTCGTCTTCCATTTTTTTCCTCATTCGAACCTTACTGGGGATAGAATATAATCAGCGCCTTACTTGGGATATATTTCGGTTCCAGCTCCGAAATCAACCGCAATAATGAGGGTATCTACCCCGGTAGTAGCTTCAATCTCTTTGGCAACAACCCGCAGTTTCTCTTCGCTGCGACTGATCAACACGATATTCATCCCCCGTTTGGCCAACTCGAAGGCATAGGCTTTACCGACGCCATCCGTGGATCCAGTCACGACAGCCCACTTTCCGTACTTCCTCGACAAGTCATCACTCGGCCGCCAACGGGCCCACACGAAGTTCCGGAACGCGACAACAAGGTCCCAGATAACCCTTCCGAGCACCTTGGCGACCCAGCAGCAACCCACAAGCGTCAACACGTGCTGCAAGATCGACAAGTTACCGATCAGCATTTCGTACATCCGCACCGACTCGGTCATGGTGGGTCAGCTTCAGAGAATGAGATTCGCCCGGCGGAGAGTCAAATAACCGGTAACGATGTCGGGCGTCAACTGCTTGATCAGCGCGTACTCTTCGGCTGTAGCGTACCTCAGCTTCGTGAACGGGTCCGTGTACTTGGCCTGCAAAAAATCAAAACGAAATAATAACAATCAACAACTCGTAACATCATTTCTTTAAAAATGACGCCAGTTTTTTTCTTTGCTCAATAGATTCCCGAACAACTCGCCGCTGTGAAATGCAACGAATGGCACACTTGGCGGTCGCGAGACAACTTTCCGAGGCTCGCGCGGGAAAAAAATGAAAGAAAAAAGAAACCGAGATATTGCGGGCGATGCAGCTTTCGCACAACTCTTCCGAGTCATCCGCACTTCGTGCACCGTCACGCGAGACTAGACTTAGCTTCATTGACTGCAGACTTGAAGCACTGGATTTGAACCGACCAAAAAAATAATCCTCATCCGAGAGAAGCGAAACGAGTTCGAAAACCTTAAACGACGAACAGTGCCGCTACTTTCTTTCGGGGCTCGGTTCACTTCGCCGCCCAAAGCCGTTGAGGCGGAGCACACGCCTTGAGCCTCATCGACACACGCGAACGATGCCCGAGTTGATTGTCATTATTGCTCCAGTTAAGAACAAAAAGGTAGGCGAAATAAATACAGTTTACAAGTAGGTGAGTTAGAGTATGTGTTCGATGAACCCCGGGGCTAGATGGAAAGGTGATTGTGAAGAAACGAGAGTGGATACCAAAATTAAACATCTCAGTGGTCTCAGGCGCGTTCGAACATTTATTTATATCGCATTACCGGAACTGAACCCCATTTCAATGTCGACGTTCGAAAGTAGTGTGAACGATCCAAATAACTTCGATATACCGTAATACGTGACCGAAAAAAAATAAGTGGGACTGCGTTGTCGGCACTACACCGGTTGAGTACTGGACTCCTGATGAACCAATTCTGAACTAATCTGGCAGACCAGACAATAAAAATGATATTCGCGTTGATTAAAAAATTCTTGACCACGTCACTTAACTTAAATTAACCAAACATAATCAATCTTCTCATTCAGAAATACTGCAACACTGATTCAACATTGGGAAAATCACATCCCTGACGGCCAATCGAAGTGTTTAGCTGTATGAGATGCATTCAAATAGAGCCAGATGCACAAGTGACGGACTGCATCAGCATATTTACACATTATTTTGACTCTTACATACATTTTCATTTACTAAATTCACAAACATTTAATCTCTTGATGAAAAATTATCGTGCACGGACCCCAAGAAAAACTACAACTCAGATAATACGGCTGATAATCGAATGACAACATTTAAAAAATCACGAATATAAAAATTGTGATTCGATGAATTTTCAAAATGTGCAGATTAAAGTAATAAACTGTATTATGAATTACCGCCGCAAATCCCAACGTGATTTTAGTTTTAGTCAATCAAACTAAAATCATAATATCAGCAGGTCGCTTTATTTCGGATGATATTCATTGAAGTTTATGAAACCTCAGTTGAGCAAAGTAACCAGCTCTCTTGAAAAGTGTAACTAGGTCACATACGCGCACTGAACCGATTACACGAACAGCGCGAGAAATTCCGCAGAAGCCGCCAACTGAAGAAATTAGCCAGCCATCCACAATTCAAATCTTCGAATAAAAAGGCTTCGGAGATTTCGATCATTAGAATATAAATGAAAAAAAGGAAACCATCAACGCCCACGAGTCCCATTCAGTGTTCGGTCACGGGAAACACGCTACTTTCGAATTTATGCCAAACATATCCAACTAAATTCTAGTCCACTCAAGAGAAAGAAGTGCTCGCCGACAGCTCTCAATAAAGAAAGAGGAATCAAACGAAAAAATGCCATTAGTTGTGTCACGACTGAGGAAATACACCAATGGGACATTTTTTTCCGCCTCTTTTTTTAGTTGTCTGAACAATGCTTCAACAAAACAAGGGGAAAATGCGAACGAAGAACACACTTCATGAGACTCGAGCTTCCCGACGCGGGATTTCCCAGGAAATAAGCACTGAAAACATTTTGAAGGCAGCGTTTGGTCTATTTGACCAACTTGGCGGAATCTCTTGTAACACGCATGTCATGCGATGCACGCCTCGCAGAAATACACATGTTCAATTAAGTAGGGGATTGCCCGCCACACCAGCTGAACAACTCGGACCCAATCCCTCCAAGTTAAGAGCTACATTCGTTCCACTCGAAATCAGCCTGAATCCATCCCAGGGATTCTTCGTGACGTGACTTATTCGTCGGCCACACATTTCACGACTCGTGCACAATTTGGGCAATCACCGACTAGTTTTCAGGGAATAGCAAACTGGATCGAATTAACAACAAAAAAACGATTAAAAATACCCCAGGTGAACTAAAAAAATTTGTTCAAAGAAAAACACCAGCGATTCATGTTTCGAGTAATCGGAGGTCCCAAGATCTGACCTCTCCATGGAAGTATTCAGGCCATCATACGCAGAAAGAGAGGCGGTTTCGCCATTTTTCTGCACATAACGTTCATGACCTCCAAATCCTTCGGAAGGGCCCGCATCCATTCTAACCATTTACACCGAGATTCAAGGTTAAACGCAGAGTTTCGGGCGAAATAAAATTCAAGCGTAAATCATCGACACGTTTGGGAAATCCCGCAAGCACAAATTCTGAGGGTTCGAGGAAGGAAGATAAAAATGCATTAAATTTTAAACGATTTCACCTTAAAAAAAAGTGCATCAACAAATGAAATTGCAAATATTCTAAGCCTTGACCTCTACGCAGCATTCATGCGAGATTTGAGCTGAATAACTTTGTTTATCCATGAGAATTGAAGACCGGAAAACTCACTAGATCCGTGAAAACAAACAAATGCCTTTCACAGTCATTACTGACAATATCAACCATTAAATACGAGATATAAACTCCCATTTATAAATGAGAGTTTAATAATTTCTCAGCCATTTATTTTCCTTGACGCAGTTTCAATTATCAGATAATTCAGAAGAATTTTTAGGATAGATCATCTTCCAAAAAAGCGAATTTGAGACCATAGATGACGGAAGAAAAAAATATGGACCCCATCACAAACGCGTAATTTCAGAATTGATAATCGTTAACGATTCCTGCTGTCGGGGTGCTGTTTCCAACCTTTTACGTTATTGACGATTTGCGAGTGGTATAAAAGGTCTTCCACGGGTAATAATTCATTTCCGCCTAATCGGCATTCACCAATGCCTCAATCCTTAGGAGAAAGAATGCCCAAAAATGCGTTTCAATGGGAGAATACTGTACGTTGAAGACGAGTTAAAAACCCTTAAAATTTCCGTAGCGCAATTTTCAACACCAAGGGTCTTTTATCTTTCGCAGCAATTTGTACGATAATTAACACACATTCTGTATTGTTAATTTTAGAAACTCAGCGAATACCATAGTTTCTTTCCACTCTTAGACCAATCAAGTAAAGCGGCTGAGGCAGTTCATGAAATTCACATTCTTCTAAAGGATAAAACGTTAGTTGGCTTAAGACAACTTTTCGCAACAAACCAACGGGTAACGGGAACACCTCCTCTCGTTTGGGGTGAGTTCATGAAAAAAAATTGATACTGTAAAAAGTACTTTACAAGCGCTCACCTGATACCCACCATTTTAATCATCAAGCTACCGGTGATTAATGTCAAAAGAAAAAAACGGTGACAATACCTTGCAAAAGCACTGGCGTGGAAACCAGATAAAATCAAAGAGGCGGTGGGAGGCGAAAGGGAGGGCGAGGTACTTTCCGAACTAGCCAGAGAGTACCCAGCCCAAAAGTTAGTGAACCCGACATACAGCTTCGAAGTTTTACATGAGTCCTTAGTACTTATTTTCAGGAAGAATTCCTTACGCGGAAGTTTTCTCAGTAAAGGATCCCGACGAACGCGTCATTTATTCAGAATCCGCTACCCTTGAACCGGATGCTGACGCAGTTCCGGGAATTCTTTATTTGCAGATGCGCGTCTAACGTTATCAATGATCGCTTCAGTGCAGAAAGCTTTACTGTTAACGGGATTCTCGATGCCAATGGAACCCTAACCGGGTAGTAGTTAAAAGCCTGGAGACCAGAAGACCAATTTGCATGTAAAAAATAATTATCACATTCCACGCGTGCACAATCCCTCGTGAAAAACAGGTACAGTATTATGAGAGGTATGTCAGTTGAACCATCATCATTGCAGATTTGGAATTAAATTTAAGGTTCGATTTATGAAATCGATTTAAGAAAATGTTCCGATCACATGTGAATCTCCGTTAATTGTTACAGGAATATAGCTCTATAAAAAGAAATGCTCACGAACCAGCAAATGATCTCTCTATCATGAATATAGTATCCAATCCATAAATTTTTTTTGGCACGACAATGCCCCTAGCGCAGCATGTAAAAACTGGTTCCATCACAGTCGAAAGTAACATAAAAATGAGTTTTTTTTAACAGGCAATAAAATGTCCCGAAATGAAACTTTTTCCATCAATTCGCCTCACTTTGCAGAATCCATTACTGGGAAACTGGACCAGATTCCGGATTTGAAGACTAACAATTAGCCGGGGAATATTTCCCGGGAAACGTGGCATTAAAGGGGAATTGTGGGGAAAAAGTAAAATTTAAGATGGCCTCAATAGATAATACAGCAATACCTTAAAGCATTTACATCAGAAGGCACATGTATGGTAGAATTTGACGAATTTGGCGTCGAAACGAATTTGTTCCATGTATGGTTGCTTTGTCAACTTCGAACCCCACGCTGCTGTTGTTCAAGAAAAGCCCTTGTCAACATTCCGAACAGTCATCAGGGAATGATCAAAAAAGGTTAAAATGTGGAGGACAAGAGAGGTACTGCACAGGGCCCGCGTAAGGGTGTTATGCGCCGGTGTGCAAAAAATAATTTGGCAATTGAACATTGATGACAATAATTCACCTTAGTTTCACTTATTCTTGAAATTCAATAAAAAGAAAAGACAGAAACTTTAGAATTGTATGCACAAATGTAAGTTAAATTATGACAAAATATTTGATATAGGCCCTATGTATTTGAACATTTTCTGGCTATGGTATCCATTCGAACCAAAAATGGCTAGGTGTCTATTTTTGGCATGGTCATTATGTATTTTCAGCAAAAATTATAATTTTAGGAATTGCACTTTTCACAACTGATCGGTATTTATGCAATTTTGCTGATATTGACTCTACTGGTGAATTTATTTCTCAATGAGTCTGCAAATACAAATCACTTCATTGCATGATGGAACCTTAATTGAATGAAGGCACAAACCACGTACACAAACAAAAATCATTTGCTCATTGTTCTTTTCATGTTTTAATCTGAAGAATTGCCAGAACAGGCAATGGTTCAAACA